AAATGAGATAATGAACTTGTTTATAAGATCAACAGAAAAAAGAAGTAATTTTTCCAGAGTTATCATCACTAATATGCAGCATAGAAATTATATCTGCTTCTACTAGGGACACTCATTTACATTCTAAATTATATGGTTGGAATTGAACTATTAAAGTAGAGTATTATGCATTTGCACCCTTGACCAAAAGAAATAAGCAAAGGTTAAAAATGACTCAGAGTAAATGGAAGGTTTGAAAGGCCTACTGTGAGTCTCCCTCTTAAGAACAGGCAGGCAGTAACTGTGAGGTTGCAGCCCTCCTTGGAAAAGGGAATTTCTGTTAAGAGCAATATGCTGCGGTGTGACAGTTGCAGCAACAAAACCTAAAAAACATGACTGAAATCAGAATAAGCATTTATATTTAATAATAAGACGAAAATATATTAATTCCCTTGCATCCAAAAAATACTGAAAGTTCTAGAGTAGAATAAAGCATTGTATTTAAAGTTTCAGAGTTCAGTAATCATCAAGTATAAAACTTGCCATCATCACAAGAATCGACAAACTTCACAGCATCTGTAGTAGTAATATGCTCCATAACAACCTTCAATCGTGGAAACTTTCGTATTAAGGGACTGAGAACCTCGTCGATAAACACCTTTTCTCGATCAAATACATCAACATCAGGACTTGTAACTTCTCCGTGGACCTGCAGAGACATGTTGACATGTATAAGCAGTTTCCTTGACCGATGACTTTCCAAGTTGTGCAATAAACCATGGCAAAGAAAAAAATCTATTGAAGTAAAGTCTACAGATAGACACAGCTCATGCACAAATAGATCATGGAATTTGTTTATCTCTAGATCACAAGAGCCTTTCAGGTGAAAATGCTTAATGCTATACATCGCAGACAACTTTCTAAACAGTATGTGAAAAACCTTTGATGGTTAGACTATGATACCGATATTTTAGTTTTGGCTATCACCCACTATAAAGGGACAGAGTTGACATTTCCAATTTCAAACTCCAACCAATGCTTCCTTGCTAGAGTGACAATACATACCTCATTATGCATATTGAACGCATGTACATGCTACAATTTCTACAACCATGAGTTTGGGGTTTTAGCAAAACCAGAACAAGGGATTTAATTTAGCATGATTATCAAAACAGGCAATACATCATTGTGATGTTCTATGGATATCATTTTCCAAAAAAATGCAATATTATGGTGAAACAATAACCACCTCACAAAAATATCCCATAAGATGCAGGATTTAAGCTCTACACTTGCTCAGGTGGGTACCCCAAAAGTAAATAGATGCCTGAAAGGAAAACAGAGAACTAGAAAAGAAATAAGAAATCAGGTTTGCACTTTATTAGTCTGTCTGCAGAAACTAGATTTTTTTTCTTTTTAAAAGGGTTGTCACATAAACTATGATACTGGGTAATCTAAATGAGACCCTTACAGAATTAATTGATTGATTTAAATATTCAGAATATGATTTAAAGTGCTCAGAGGTAACTATCCAACGGATTACTCAAGTAAACTCTTTGATTAACATAAATGACAGTCTACTTGGATAAGAAGCTGGAATCAGCTTCTGAATACTGAAGTTTAAAAACCTCGTCAGCATACTTTAAACAACTCGAGAAATTCTTATCCCATACTTATCTGAAGTAAGCTATCACAAGAATAGCAATGGAAAATAAATAATTATGATAATAATTCCAGGAAAAAAATATATATCATAACAAATCCTAGGCACTAATATCCACTTAGAGTGGGCAAACTTACAAGTAAAGGCATGTTTTGCAGAACCATTTCTTCGAGTACAGGTAAACACTTCCCAAATAGATCTGTTACACCATGTTGGGAGTTTGTAGTAGCACCAGCAGGATACAACTTCACAGCAAATACAACCCCACTCTCCTCTGTGACAATAGACCTCTATATTATGCATAAAGCTAGGATGAAACAAAAAGAAAAGAAATGAGATTTGTCGTTAACTCTTTCACGCAATGCACCCCACAAAAACTTT